GACCAGTACGCCTACTGCTACGTCTCCTCTTGCCCGCCTTCCACTTGTTCGATCCGCTCGCCGGTTGTAACTTCCTTTAACCGTCTTTTCAGACGGATCATGAATCACCATCCGACTAAGAAATCGTCTGGACCATCCACCGACTGAACCTACCGAATAACCCAACAATTGACCAACCGACCAATCCAGATACTAACTGGTCGCTAGACCAAGCGACTAATCAGTTGCCCACTCGAGCGACCACCATTCAGTCCCTTCAAACAGCTGAACAACCATTCGTCCAGACAATTCATCGGTCGCCCAATCAAGCGACCACCATCCAGTCCCTTCAAACGGCTGAACTACTATTTGACCAAATGACCGGCCAATCGATCAGGCGATTAACAGGTTCAAACGGCTGAACTACTGTTTGACCAAATGACCGGCCAATCAATCAGGTGATTAACAGGTCTCTTAATTAAACGACCAATTAACAGACCTTTGTTCGCCCGACCAATTAACAGACCTTTCTTCGCCCAACCAATTAACAGACCTTTCATTTTGACCGACCTCCTTATCGGCCGTCTCATCTTTCTTCGCCCGACTTCATCTAGTCCGACCTCTTTATCGGCCGTCTCAGCCCAATTTGTCCGTCTTCCTTTTGTCCGACCTCTATATTCAGACCCATTTAGGATCCCACTGCCATTAACAGGCCCATTGAACTATACACCAGTCCACAACCCTAGGCCCATTCTCGAAAACTCTGCACATTGGTTTTTTCTTACTCAACACACGTTTTATATTTAAATCATCTTTCAACAACATAAAAAAACCTTTCACATGCTTCACGTGTCTCACTCCCAACAACATAGGCCAAAGAAAATTATTTATTATTAGGATCAATTGCAATCGCAATTAACAGTATACCTTGACACGGACCATTCAAATGACATCCATCGATCGACCCTAATCATAGGTCGACAACCGAACTGGAATTCATGGATGAGCGATTTCAAACATATATAATATTTGTTAAATTGTCGTCTTCCGTCCATAAACTTACCTTCCAACTCCATCAAGACACGTGATCTCAGATTCGATTGTCGCAATGTTTCGACATAATCCCATAACTTTTCATATTGCTCATTTGCATCACCATCAATTGATTTAAGTTCTCTCTTTTTGGCCCTATATGCTTGTTTATGAGATAAATTGAATCTGATGTCTTCATAGACATCTACTGTAAATTCTTTCACATGTCTCGAAGGGTCTTATTGAAACAATGATTCCTTTTTCTTTCTTTTTTTTGTAAGCTAATGAAGACTTCACATTCTTGACATTCAGATCATACATACACTCATACTTTGACTTATAGGTTCTGATTTGAAATGTCGATTAATAGCTCACCTTCAAAGCATTGATTCTCCAATTACAACTTTCAACTGTGTATCGAACATAAATTCTTCTTTTGTCATTTTTTACAACTTTAGAGTCTTCATGGTCCTGATAGCGTGATTCTGAATGACCACTTTAAACTCTCTTTTTAAACTGAAGATCATCACAAGTGCAAACAATGGGTTGTACTTGGTAGACAAATCTTAAATTGTGTGGGAATCCATATTTTCTATATCCATTCGGCAATCTTGTGAGATCTTTCTCTTGTGAATCACCCAAAGAGATCTCATCGTCAGAATTTTAACGTACCAAAACACATTGATCTTCATTCAATTCATCAATGTCTACCATATTCACGTTAAGAATTAATCAATTAAATCATTTCCACATTTTCCTCTTCCATCAAATAGTCAGGATCCTTAAAATCCAATTATTCTCCTTTTGTATCCCCATGATCCAACTCTACATTTTTCCTCTTCTCAATCATTCTATCATTTGCAGCAATCCTTTTCACAAATAAAATATTTTATTCACCTATAAAAAATATAGAAGAATATAGAAAAAAAATAAAAATCAATAATAATACAATTTTAAAATTTATAAATATTATGCATATACATATCATTTTCAAACGAAATAAAATAATTATACTTATAAAATACAAGATTCAAACAAAATATGTAAAAATAACAAATTTTATACTTTACTTGTATTGTAATACACCACCAAAAGAAAATTTTAAAGTTATAAAATACAACAAACATACCGTGATAGAAGCAATAATATATTCTACATTTTTCTTGCAATGTGGAATGAAAAAAAAAATATATTATAGTCTTCACCATAAAGATTCTAGAAGAAAAATCAAAAAAAATGAAATGTGAAAAAACATGTTGTAGAAGAAGAAAGATCATATATATAAAAATGCAGCCTAATACGGCCCTGTTTGAACAACGGTACTAAATCTACTTAGACTCAAACACAGTTGTGTATACATAAACATAGCCGTGTTTGATCACGGATGTTGCTGTTAATTTCAGATGTACACTTCCGTATTTATGGATACACACGACTATGTAGGTACACCATCTGGGTATATGGCCGTAAGAACATACACGGCCATGTCCAATATCGCACGTCTGCGTTATGTGGCTGCGCGGTGGCTGATTGTGATAAACACGGGCATGTTGCTTTCAGGTCAACTGTCACGTCAACTCTATTACGTTCATAACAACAATTTTTGTTAGTGTTTTAACGATTGCGAGATTGAAATTAGTTATATTAGAACCAAAATTGATAAATTCTTTTACATTGAGACAAAATTAATTAATTTTGATTATATTGAGATCAAAATTACTTTTTTCCACTTATAAAATAATATCATAAATTATTATAATTAACGTAGTAAATTATATTTTTCTTAAATATTGTGCACTAACTAAGTGTTGTCAATTAGGAAGGATTAAAAAAGTATAAACTTTTGTTCCTTCTAATCTTTTTTTACTATTAAACTTCTAAAAAAATATTAGTTATATTAAAATTAGTTACAAAATGAAGCATATGTGGATATGCTGTATTCTTGGCTTGCAAACATATGTGATTCAAAACGGTACCCTAATATTACTGTGTTTGTTTTGTATTTTAATTTGAAAGAAAAAAAAAATTAACGTAAAATATAGAAAAATGTATAAATAATATTAAATTAATAAATATATATATTAAAAAAAATTGTAAAAGAAATAAACCCTACTCTTAGGGTCAGATTGTGAATCCAAATAAGCCACCAAATACATACAAGTTGGAGGGGGTGTTGGGGTTCACACTTGATACTCACACTGTTCACATATACAGTGTCAGTATGTAAGTGTGGAAAAAATCAAAAAAAAGGGCCCAAATGTATGAACAAATGGGAAGAATTTTCAACTTTCCTTAGGTCCTTGTTTTGTCTTTTTTTGGAGTTCACATTTCTTTACACATATCATATCATACCTATCAACTATATAGTATTATTGACCACTATAACATCTATTATCCATACATCTATCTTTTATTTTATATATTTAAAATATTCCTGCGACTGTGTTTTATAAATAATACTTTTTTTGTCCCAAATAAGGTGCAGCGTTTGCTTTTGGCATAAGTTATTTTTAGATGGGAGGATAATTTAAAAATTAGATGATGTGATGGAGCGGGAAATATATATTTTATTTTTTTTATTTGAATGATGTGAGAGGATAAAGTGCGGAGTAGAAATTAAGTATAATTAATTATTTACTATTTTGAAAATATTACAAAGTATTTGAGACATACCAAAAAAAATATTGCAGAGAAGGAACTAACATTTAATTTTATCCAAAAAATAATAATAATAATAATAACAAATCAAATGCAAGAACAATCCTACAGCACAAGCGCGAAGGGTTTGATTACGTCATTAATCTTATTTTTATACTATTATTCATACAATTGTAAAAATATTAATGGCTTTATTCTTTTAATTTTTTTCTCCGACATCATTTTAAATATATATATATTATTATCACACAAAGTCAATATTCAATATAAGTATTATATTTTATATTACCGATACAATTTTATATACTTTGTATCAAAAAAAATCAAATCAATACATTCAACAAACTCTTAATTTCTAAAAAATATCATATAAAAATTTAATGTATTCTTTATTCAAATACCATAGTTAATTTTCTATTTAACTTTCATTTTTCAAATTAAATCAAATTTAACTTTATATATTTTTATTATTTACTATAAAAAAAAAAGCAGGAAAAAAACTCTGAAGTTTATACAACTTGTTTTAAATAATAAATATATATATATTTCTATATAATTAATTATTATCAATTTTAAAATTTTATAATATTTAAGAATGTGTCTTTTTAAGTCAATCTTTATATTTTTGGATAAAAATAAATTATAAATAAAATATCCGTATTTTATTGAGAGATATAAAAATCGTATCGGTAATATAAAACATAATATTTTATTTTAAATATTAATTTTTTAAAAAATTGATAACATATATTTTATCCTTATCAAAACAATAGTTTCTTATCAAAACAATAGTTTTATTTTGCCATATTCGTTCCGTCCCTAAACAATATTCTTATTTCTATTTTTTAACTAGTTTCACACATTTTTACAAAATTATTTCTATTTTTTCAAATAATTACATAAAATATGAATATTTTGGTCTTTTTAAAAATATTTGTACATCCACTGTCAATATAATACTATTATTACTTAATTTTTGTTCTTATTCCAAATGTCTCTATTATTTTGGGACGGGACGAATAGAATATATATTAAAAATTGTGTTAAAAAAAATCATGGCAAACGAACCTATATAACATCTAGTCTTACAAAATTATAGATATATTTATACAATTAATTTTCAATAATCTGACACTATATATTTTTTTATTACTGGGCGTGAGATGAAGTTGAGTTAGAAGACACGTGTCGTCCACGTAAACTGTGCCGCATGCAATAAATGCTCACAGTTATGGTAGAGTGCTACTATTATAATTTATAAATTTATAGCAAAATCCATTATTTTGTTTTGATAAATTCATTAAAACAAAACTTAATAGAGACTAATTAAATAATGCAAAAAGCAAATAAAATAAATTCCACACCACACATCAGGTTAAAACTGAGTCAATACCCGAACCACCGCCCTGCACGGCGGCGGCCGCCACAGCCGCCGCCGCGCAAGGTTGTTCTCCGGCGCGGTTCGTTCTTGACTCACTCCCTAACTGAACACCAAACAAACCCTCACAACAGCTAATCAATCGAATTGGGAATCGTCTCAATAAATACAAAACCAACAAACCCTAATTCTGCAAACGCTCGCTCCCTCACTCACGGTGGCTTCCGGCGTCGCCGCCGCCGTGGAGCGCCGCCTTGATCTTCTGGACGGTGCACGATATGAGGTTGTTGACGGTCTCCACCGACTCCACGGTCAGCTTCGCCGTCGGCAGACTGTTCACCAGAATCTGGAACGCCACGGTCAGGAGTGACCCTCCGCCGCCGCCGCCGTTGCCGGCGGCGGGGCCATCGGGAACAATCGCGAATCCCGACGGGAGCAGCGCCACGTAGGCCGAATCTCCGCCATTCATCACGACGTGCATCGCCGGGATGTCGACTGGCGCGTAGACCACAAGCGACCCCGCCGCGTCTATGCATGTCTCCTGCAGGATTAGCATACTGCTCTGATTCGAATTCACCGCCGCCTGCGAAATTACCATTATGACCCTACCCTCATTAGTCAACCAATAAAATTGACCACTCGCAAAAAAAAAGTACACATGGCTGACTCATAAAGCTCCACGCATTTCCCCGCCATTGACTTTCTTCCCAACAAAAATATATATATAAAAGAAATTAATTTAAAACTTTTAACACTATTTATCAATTTAAATTAAACTTACGCTTGCCCGTAAAAGAGAAACGCAATTTCCATGATCTTGTCCTTTAGCAATGTGAGCCATTTCTTGCATAGGTCCTCCATTCGATAGAATGTCCCATTCGCTCCGAAGGCGTTCGTCCCGAAGGAAATCGAACAACCTTTGAGGCGGCACGGGCAGCCACACCGACGTCGCGGCGCTGACCACAATGCCCGGGGGCTCACCGGGGTCGTCGATGCTCTTCCTTGTCATAACTTGGACATTCTCGTCCACATTGTCGGTATGCAATTTATTCCACTTATGGTTAGACGAGGCGCAAACACCCGCGCAAAAGCTATTCGTCATCCGTTGCGCGAGCTTAAGCATGCTCCTCCGCCCTCCGGCAGTGATCGCCGCTACAAGTAATAAGAAAAATAACATTTATTATAATTTTCAACTTTATTACATACAAACATATGGGTTCGTACCAGTGTGGTCGCGGGCGGGGATTGTGGACGACATAAGAATGGCGAGACACTCGCATTGCCTTTGGAGGGTCGCGACCCAGCGTTGGGCGCCGAAGCCCATCCCGGAGGCTATCATTGGCCGGTAGAGCTGGTGAACAATGCTTTCATCGTACAAAGCGTGTTCGACCCACGTAACCTACGAGGAACGATCAAATTATGTGACAGTTTTAAGGTATAATTATTTCATAGCCAATTTTTGTAGCTATAGAAATATTTTCTTGTATTCAAATACCATTACAAAAAAATTCAAGATCCAATCCGGAGCTGAGCTCCATGGACCTCCCAATGAAAATTCAACATCTTTAGAACACAGTATGAAAATTAGGGCAGTGTATAAAATAGAGACAAACACAAAATCATGCAAGATTTGGGGGAACGAGGTGGAATGCTCACGTGACGACAAAATACAGCCCAAGTCTAGGGATTTGACTCACTGGTCTTGGTTCCATAAGGATAATTATAATAATAATAGTAATAATAAAATAGATAGATACACAGACATTTATATAAATTGTACTATAATATAGATATGTGGATTTTTATAAAGTGGAGATTCGATCGAGACAGCATCAGAAACTGGAATAGAAACATCAAAATGCATAGTTTTTTAATCCAACCAATGCATGTAACAATAATTTAATATGTGATACGAAAATTAATGTGTCCCAAGGAGCAAAATTAGGGCTTATGGAGGCTTCCATTCATTATTCTAACAAGGGTTTTGTTTGTACTATAATATTAATCTTTATCTTAAGCAGGCAAGAATCTGACAATCCAGGCATAAAATATGCACACAGATACGTGGTTTTTGATGCATAGAGAAAGAAAATAAGGCATCTTTTTTATGATTGATTTTAGAAGTTTTTGGAAGGTTTCAATGTCAGGTCACGATTCACGACCACAGTTACAAAAAAATTTCGAACCTGAATTATCCAAAAAAACCTATCTTTACTCCCGGGACCCCAGCTCCACACCCATATATATACATAAACATAATTAAATTAAAATAGCTATATTACATAGATGTAAAGAAACTTTATAAACAAACCCATTTCCTGACAATAATTTGTTTGTTTTTTTAGGTGATGTTGATTTACTAGGAATTAAATGTGCTCAACTAAGTCGTGTGAAGTGGGTGCATTTGCTAATTCAACAAACTGTATTTAACACGAGAGGCAAGGCACCAACCATGGAGGGGACTCAATAAATGATGAAAATGGAGCTGTGTATGTGTGTACGTGTCTTAATTTGCATATATATATATATGCAATAATTCAATTTAATTTAATTTAAAGAAGCCTAAGAAATAAATAAGAGGTAATTTAATTAATTAAATTAGGAATACTGAATATTATTATTACTACCTTGGAATATCCATTAGGCATGTCCTGAACCAAGCATCCCGACGGCAGCCGGAGGCAGCTGGGGGCGGCGCCGGAGGGCGGCTCCCGGACGACAGCATCGATCGACACGTCGACCACCGCCCACACGCCCTCCGCGTGCTGCTTGCAGAACCGCAGAAAATTCACCTCCCGGACAGGAACCAACGGCGATAGAACTTGGAAGGTTGCATTCATCTGTAAGATGTAACGAAAAGAATTGCCCTAAGTTTTCGAACAAATTAAATAATACGATCATCGGAAAATCGATCGGAATTATTACTAGGTGGAGCGCGCCGTTCCTCGTCCCTCCCATGCCAGTCGAAATCATGTCGGTCGTCGAGGTTTTCGTGACGATGCAAGGGAACATCTCCGCCCATTTGTTCTAAACACAACACAAAAATCAAATAATTCAATCAAAGCTTAAGACACAAAGGTTGTTTGGCCGTCGAATTAGGCTCTTACCGAGTCCATGAGTGTCTCGACGAGGGCGAGGCTGTTGATGATGACAACGCCGGTCTCTCTCGTCGCCTCGGTGACAAAGCCGGTCGGCGCCATGCTGGCGCAGCGCGTGAACGACCGGCAATACTCGTCGTGGTTGAGCACTTCCCACGGGCCTTCAGGCCCCCGAACCCAAACGGGCTCGTCGGCCTGCGCGATCTTCACCAGTTCGTCCATGGCCGCCAATGCGAGCTCCAAGTAAACAGATCTTTCCATCGGATTCGCCTTGGGCGGCGGCACGGAGGGAACCGACATGCTGAATTCAGGGAGAGAGGCGAAGGATCCGTAGCCATTGTTGCCGACGCCGAGCTCCAAGGTGGAGGTGGGGACCGGCGGCGCTAGGACGGAGACAGGGCGGCCTAAGAACTTTCCGGCGAGAGCGCAGACACGGTCGAGCTCGTCTTTCAGGCGAGCGTTCTCGATCCGGAGGTGCTGCTCCTCGATAGACACCTCGCCGATTATCGCCGGACCGCCGCAGTTGGTGCAGATTGGGTTCCTCATCGCCTCGCGGATCGCCATGTTTTCCGTCCGGAGCTTGTCGTTCTCTTGCCGGAGAATCGAATTCTCGTGGCGCTCGAGTTGTGTCTGGAACGATAAATCAATTATCGATTCGAGCAAAACTTGGTATAATTTTTCAGCTTGTCGGAACTGGGAAGGTTTACCTTCATCTGAGTTCGTCGATTTTGGAACCAAAACTTGACCTGACGGGCGTCCAGGCAAAGGCGGCGGCTGAGCTCCGATCGTTGCTTCTCGTCGGGATGAGGGCACTCTTTGAACATGCTAAGAAAATTAAATCGAACAAAATTCATCAACATCAAAGCTAGGAAATCTAGAATGAATAATCTGTGAACATACGCTTCGAGCTCTTGGATTTGCTGGGGAGTGTGTCGGTGGTAGCGTTTCTTCCTGGGAGGCTTGTCGGCGGCGTCGGGATCGTCGCCGGAGGCGGCGCCGTCCATGTTGTCGCTGCCAGATCTGCTCTCGTGGTCGTCGTCGCGGCTCCTTCTTCCGCCGGCGACACTGTTGCTCAGCATCTCGTAGTTCTGAAGATCGCCCAATCTCCCCATCTCTCCCTGCGCCTCCATTCCCGTTTGCTGCCCCCACAAGCAATTAAAATTATTACTGCAACTAACCTTTTTAGTATTTCACAAATTCTATATCTATCTATCATCTCTCTCTCTCTCTCTCTATATCTATATATATATATAGAGAGAGAGGGGGGGGGAGAGAGAGAGATGAGTGAGAATGGTAACAACAATAACAATAACAGTAAAAATAATAATTGTATCAGTAATAATTACGAGGGCAAGAGAGAGGGCAGGAGAGCGAAAGACGACGGGCTTGGAAGGGAGGAGCCTCGGCGGAGCAATGGCGGCGGCGGTTGTGGGCATAGGGATGGCGCCGTCGGGATTATTGCTGCTGGTATATGGCAAATCTGCACTATCGCCGCCGCAAGAATTGCTATCAAGAAAATCCCCAAAATTCATCAATTAATCCCTGCCTCAGATTTTGCAATTTTCTCTCTCCCTCAAGATCTTCCCAATCTCTCTGTCTCTCTCTCTCTATACGTATATATAAATATATATATATGGAGGGTTTTCCTTTCCTTTTCCGCCTTCAGATTTTCCCCTTCCGAAAAGTTAAAAAACTTGGAAACACGAGCAACAGATGCACAAACACAAATCAAACCGCTAGATCAAGGCCAAAATGCAAGGACGACTATATATATGTGTGTGTGTGTATGTATTTGTATCTATAATTTGCTTGAAGAAGAAAGGGAATTGAAAATAGGGTGCAAGAAGAGAAAAAGAGGAAGAGGAAAGACACAAGGCCTAAATCCAAATGTCTCCACACTGCCTCTTCTCTCACTAACTCGCTCCAACCTTCAATTATTTTTTACAGGAAGGAAGAGGGAGAGAGAAAGACAACTGTAGCTCATCTCTTTCTTCTCTATCCCTCTCTCTTCTCAAAAACAAACAATTAAACTGACGAAGAAGAAATCAGAAGAAGAATTGAAGAAACCCTAGAAATGGGGGAAAAGGGGTAGCTTGGATCCTGTGCTGTCTGAAAGCCTGAACCCCAAAAAGGCACCTCTCATCTCATGTCCAACAAAAAAGCAGGAAATCAAATGGAAAAGGGAGTGAGAAAAGTTTTGGATTTTTCAGCCCACAAAGGTAGAGAGAGAGAGAGAGAAACGAAGGAGAAAGAAAACAAGGAAGAAGAAGATGAAAAAGGGTAATGGGGACGATAACAGTGCAATGGTATGTGGATTGAGGGATGCCCACATATATATGTACGGCCAAATTTGCACACAGAAAAAGGTCGGTTGACTCTTCCCTCCCCCCTCTTTCTCTCTCCTCTTTCTACCCTTTCTTTCTCTCTCTCTCTCTATATATATTTGTGTATGTATTGTTACAGTCAGAGAGCTGCTTTTGTATATTTTTATTGTGGGCAGTGAAAATTTTGACTAGACTTTTTAACCTGTAAGACAAGCCAAGTTAAAAAAGAAGGCCGTTTTTGGCATAAAATTTTTATTTTGTCCGTGTTCGAATCCCCATGACGTGTCTTAGTCTATCTTTTTTCCTTGTAGTCCAGTGTTTTAGAAGTAGTATAATTAATAAATAATTAAAAATTTATTAGTGAAAATAATTATCCAATAATATAAATAATTATAAATTAAAATTAAGATAACTAATTAATTTAATTAAAATTTTAAAAAAATAAAATTAAAAAGTTTAAAATGAGATTAAAATATATAATTATTTTCAAAAAAAAAAATGACATAGTATATGAGAATGACGGAACAGGCAACGTGGACATAATATGTAGGACGGAGGAAATATTTATTTTAAAAAAATAGTTTGGTGGACTTTTTCTGCGTATCTTTTTACCATACAATCTGTTTATTTATTTATAGATTGATTTACTGCGCAGGGCCGCGGTTAAATGTTATGTGAATTTTGTTTGGACATGTGACGTGACGTTATTCTGTCAAAAAATAATAATAATAATAATAATAATAATAATAATAATAATAAGGGCGAGATTGGCCGGACTGGATGGAGTTTTGGTTCGTTTGTTTGTGTTTTTGTGGATATATATTAGACTCGTCCCCCTACTATTACGAACAAGTTCTTGTTCTTTTATTTATTTTCTTTCAAATTTAAATTAACATTTTCAAATTATAACCAAATAAAGTTTAAGGGTGTGTTTGTCTGTGGGTTTTATTTTTTTAGTTTGGATTTAAAAAGTTAAATTTGAATAGTTGTTTGATAGAATATAAATAGAGATTGATGTGATATTTTGAATATAAAATAAATTTATAGTATAAAATAAAAAATAAAAAATATTTGTTGATGTTTGAAGAGAAAAATAATCTAAAAATGTGTCATAAATTTACAAAAAAACACAACCTAAATGTGTGTTTAGACAGTTTGAAAGATTTTTACTATCTAAAAAAAAAAAATCTAAAAATATAAAATCATTCATTTAATTTTTATGAATTATACTCATTTCGTCCTACATATTTAGTTTATTTAGGGGGTGTATTCATTTTGGATTTTATTGGATTTTTTTTTCAAAAAAAAGTCTATGAATTTACGTGGATTTAAAAATCCATGGAGTCCGTGCAGAGTTTGATGGATTTTATTAATTAATTTAGATGAATCCTTATAGATTTCATTGGATTTTTTTTATGGATTTATATGAATTTTGTGGAATTGTAAAATATATACTATATTTTTTATTGATTTATATAATTGTATAAACTTATGTAAATACAAATTTTACAAATATAATATATTTATTATATTTTATAAAATATAAGTAATATTAATAAATAATATATAATTATTAATGATATATAAATATTGTAACATATATAATGTTACTATTTTCTATATTATATTTTAAATTTATAATTTTTATTATATTATCATTCAATATCTCAATTTATTTTTATATTTTTATTAGTTATTACTACCTCCGTCCCACATACAGTGTTTGCTACACTATAGACACGATATTTTAGGAGGTATGTAATTAGTAGATAATTATTAATGTATTAGTGAAAATAATTATCCTATAATATAAATAATTATAAATTAAGATTAAGATAACTAATTAGTTTAATTAAAATTTAAAAAAAAAAAAATTAAAAATTTTAAAATGAAATTAAAGTGTATAATCATTTTCCAAAAAAGGAAAGTGACATGGTATGTGGGACGGACAGAAACGGCAACGTGGACATGATACGTGGGACGGAGGGAGTATTATTATTATTATGTAATAAATTTTGTAAAAAATAAATATATAGATTAAAAAATTAATATATTACACACATTCATTATTTTTATATTATATGCATAATTTCTTATACTTTAAAAAATATTCCTTCAAAATATTTCACAAAACAATCACAGCAAAAATAAAAAATTGCATTTACAATTTTGCATAAGAAATAAAATTAAAAAGTAAGAAGTAAATGAATATAACTAACGGTTCAACGAATAAAATATATATTTAGCTAACTATACCAACAATACAGTGTATTCAATAATTAAAAAAATAATACATATTTATTATGATAATAGTAATTTTCAAATATTATATTTATAATATAAAAATACATATTTAAAAAAAAAAAGTTGATAATTATTTCTTAACATATTTTATTGTTAAATTATTACTTTTTATTAAATATTTAAAATAATATTAATAAATATTATCATATTCTTTATCATTTATTTATTATCAACAAAAATAATAATAATAATTTTAAAAATCCAATCAAAATCTCTCTTTATCATGAGAGATTTTCTCACATACAAATTTTTCATAATTGTCCTTTAAAATCCAATGAAATCCATAGACTTTAAAAGCCCGTGGATTGTTGAATACCTCAAAATTTTAAAAAACTTTTAAAAGTTTAGATTGAATACCTTTAGATTTTAAAAGACTTTATTGAATACAGTCAAATTTTAAAAGTCCAACAAAATCATATAGAATTGTGATTGAATACACTCTCTTAATTTAAGAAAATAAATATAATAAAGTTAGCAACGTTTATTGTAAATAAATATTTAATGAATCGTAATACTTAAATATTAATTCTTTTACTTTTTTTTTTTCTAAATATAGTACTTGGATAAATTATGTTAAAATTTTAATGAATTAAATAAAAAAATAAAATAGAAGTATCATAATAAATTTGGTAAAAGATTGATAAAAAAAAAAAGGAGAGTAAACAAAAAATAATAACAAATTAATTATTATTCATTAAACTAAAGATAATAAAAGTATGAATGAATAAGATGTTTGATATAAATAAAATGTACATAAGTTTAACAAAACGACCAAAAAATAATTAGTAATATAATTTTTATAGGGGCGTGAGTACTATTTTTTTGTCATTATGTGTGTTTGGTTAGTTTTGTTTAATTTTTACTATTTACGAAAAAATTTATTTATAAAAATATCAAATTAATTATTTATTTATTTTAATTTTTTATGTTATACTTAAAAAATAATTTTATATTTAACACATTATATCAATTTCCATTTACATAACATTAAATAAATATCAAAATTCAAAACCCAAACAAACTCACTCAATTCATTATTTTTGGATAAACTCAGGCCCGACGGAGTTTGAACCCATGATCTCATGGTCACAAGTCCAACCCCTACACTATCAAACCATCCCTTACGGAACGACATAATTCTTAATACGATCAATGGTTGTCGTAGTTGATTCAAAATTTTGATAAAATATGTTTTTTTTTTTTTATAAGTGTTGTATTCAGTCCAGATCAGATGTTAGATCAATTTCATTACGTCCATATCAGTATTGCCATTTATTTTTTCTAACCGTGAAACTGTAAGTGATGATTAAAATATTTTTTTAATGAGACCAAAAATAATTTTATATATAATTATATCAAAATTAATTATTTTAACATTAATTGGAACCGCTTTTTATTTTTATTTTTAATTTCCCTACGTGTAAATATCAGATATATAATGATTTAGAAGAATAAGACAAAAGTTAGCCTCATGTTTTTGTGATTAAGGACGACAGGAGAAAAAGACTAAAGGAAAAATGAAAGAAATAAATAAGTGGAGTGAAAATAAATGAAACACATAAGATTATTTATGTAATTTCATATCTAACACATATGATAGTACATTATATTATTAAATATACTATAATATATTATGATTTCAGCACAATATATGTTGGATGAGATTTTGAATTTTTTTTAAATAGTATTTTATATGATATTTGATGAGAAAAATAATTTTTATTAAAAATGTGATAATTAAATAATATTTTTTTCGTTCGGTAATCAGAGTTGCGTTTATCTTGTGAGTTATTATATTTAATATTAAAAATATATTTATATTTATATTTATTTGTATTTTAAAATGCGAATAATTTTTTTTTTCTCTTGAGTTATAATATATTTTGATATAATTATTAATATTCAAACATAAACACGCAAAAAATAAATATAACTCTTATTACCAAACGGAAATATTCCCTCCGTCCTACTTACTATGTCTATTTTTTCATTTTTGTTTGTCCCACTTATTCTATCATTTTTTTTTAAGAAAAAAAATTATACAATTTAATCCTATTTTAAAATTTTTTATTATTTTTGTTTTAAAGTTTAATTAGACTAATTAGTTGTCTTAATTTTAAACTAAAATTATTTTTATTATACAATAATTATTTTTATTAATATAATTATTTTTATTAATACATTCTTATTTTTTATATATGATGTACCATATGAACATTCAACAAATTTACAATATGATTCAACAGTTTTATCTGTTAATTCAATAGGTTTAAATTATAGAGTAGTTCATAATTTCTTGTCACTTAATTTGTAGGTAGATTTACAAAATAATTAATTTAACAAACTAATTTAATTCAATGGCTTATAAAGAAATTTTTAATATTACTTATAACGATGCAAAATATAAATGTAAATTTATTAAGTGGACTGAGAAAGTATTATTTTTTATATTACCGATACGATCCTCACTCGTATAAAAAAATAATTTAAACTAAAACACTCATAACTAAGAAAATACTTTAGCATTTGTGTTTTTTTTTTTTTTCTTTTTTTGTTTGTTTAAAATATGATTAGATGTAATATTTTGTAAAAGAAATACTTTCGCATGTTCTAATTTAAAGTACAATTTTTACTATTTTTATCCATCTCATTCAAAAGTATTCATTTTATTTTTCAGTACAAGTAATCATA